CTCGGTGGCTCCGTCCGCCTCTCGGGGAGATGGCGGCGGCCATCGCCAGCTCCCTGATCCGACAGAAGCGTCAGGCTCGCGAGTCCAACAGCGACAAGGTCACCACCAACAAGAGACGCTCGAGTCCGACTAAAGAGCAGAAGTCTCTCTGTGACAGACACATCTTCAGCGTCTTCAGCAAAGTGCGCTTCTGCAGCGGAAAGAAAAGACCTGTACGACGGAAACCAGGTGGGTTCGCAGACTCTGAGACCGACCGTCTGCTGAGCGTTCATACTTGATATATTTCACACCTCGAGTTCAGCCTCGAGCAGCCTCGGGGCTCACTGGAGCGCTGATACCAGCTCTGAATGTACTCGCATATCGAAGAATACCACAGAGACTCTTTATGTACCCGTCACACAGTGGACTCAGAGCCTGTTAGCATGTTAGCCTGCTATCATTCCTGCACAAAAGCAAAACACCCGGAAGAAATGCGCGACTTCGTCTCAGACTCGCACTGTTCCTGTGGGATATTTATGGTGCGTTCCGTTTGGGAAGTCGGTATTTCTGAGTTCAAAGGGAACGCCCCCTTAAGTCGGATTTCCGGGAGAACCGCACCGCCCCGACTTCGTTCAACAGTTAGTGAAAGCTGCAGTTTATACTGTTTATTAGCACTTCTGTGTACACAAAGTGCCGTCCAGCTGCTGTTTGTGGACGTGTAGCTACAGCGTTTAGTGTGCTATATAATAAACAACAGCTGGCAGAGCGCAGTTTTCCGACTTGTTAACTGGAGCGCCGTCAACTCGGGTGTGACGTCGTTACCAGCTCCAACTTACAAGGTAAATAGAACGCAGCATTATGCTGCCAGTAAACGGGACACAAGGTCTGACGTCACTCACCTGGCTTGTAGTTTGAGTCGTCGTTCAGTTCAGCTGCGGCGCTTTAACCGTTCACTGCAGATTCCTCAGTCTCATCTGTTGTTTCATCAACGCTAAATAAACTGAAATACAGCTTGTAGTGGCATTAAACAACGCTTTAAAATATTTAATGGGTTAAAAAAAGAAAGTGAGGACGTGTCCCTGTGGAGACCCTCCTGCAGGATAACCAGCTAAAAGTTGACCTGAGGTCGAGCAGAGGGGGGACGTTTAGGAGGAGCATCTTGGACCGCCGGGCGGATTTCAACATTTCTACATTCATGAGCTGCGTCTCTCATCAGCCGACACGTCGCTGCTGCGAGCCGCTTCATGTTTTCTTGGCAGTACAACAAACAGCTTGTTAGAGGAGCTGCTGCTCGATCAGCTGCTTCAGCGTCTTTAACTTCTCCACAGAGTTGAGTCATTTACTGCAGCGTCAGCGCTTTGCGAAGTTTTACCATCACTGAGCCCCGTAGTGATGAGGTTTGTTCCAAACAGGACGGGACTGCAGAAACACATGCTTTTTTTAAATTTAGGAATATGGGATGTACGAGGAAGTGGGGTGTTAACGGTAGATTCACAGTCCAGGACCTACTTCGGTTTGTGGGTCACTGTTGGTTTTCGTTTTCGGTGCACTGGCCTTAATTCTTATTGTAAGAGTTAAGACTCAAATACTGAGCTGCTGCTGGTTTAAACAGGCAGCACACGGGCTGACCAACATGTACAGCTGAAGGAGTTTTGAATGCTTCAATCCTGGATTCTCTATGACCGAGTCTGCAGGGATAAACACCCTGTGGCATTAGTTATTGCTTTGGCCCAGTCTGAATCTTCCTTCCAGACTGGGTTTGTCTCGTTCTGCTAATCGACGTGCTCGAAGTTTGACTAATCATTTTCTCTGTAACTAACCGGGGAGCCATAATGGTCCCGTGGAATGGATCTTAAAGTCCCGGGAGGATCCTCAGCTCTGGTCTCTCCTTTGTGGCGACGACACTACACGAGCTGGACTAACCTGGCTAACTGGAATAAGCCGACTAGCATGCTACAGCAACCGGTGCCAAAACATTCTGGGTAAAAGTCGAACTCTAGAAGTGAGCGAGTCGTCAAATAAATAGACTATTTTCATGTTAAATGTTTGGGTCACAGGGTGCACTGAGCCGCATACGGAACTAAAAAGTTCAGGACGAATCCACGTACCCCTAATCATGCAGCACACGAGTCTTTACATCCAATCAGTCGCCCTCTTGAGGCCTGAAAGGTGGTCCAACCTGTGGTTCCCACGAGGATTTATCATCTTCATCTGTTGTTTTCACCACCACATGTTTACAACTGAAACATTTAATCGTATAGAAACACGTTACGTTTGCAGGAACTTTGGAAACAAACATTACAAAGAGACGAGCAGGCGATTCAGGGGCCCGTTTCTTTTGTAAAAGGTTCCTCTGGTTGACTTTTACAAGAAGAAATTAGCTGATATTAATATCCCTAAATGCAGAACTGCCTGTGCAGCAGAAACGCTGTTTTGCTCCTCTGGTTGAAACTCTGATGTGTTAACACGTCATCGTCACGTCTCAGTTCAGGAAACAGCAGGTGATAAAGCTCTCAGCTCGTCGTCAAACCGTGTGACACACACTTATAAATATAACTTCCCTCAGAAAGACTGAGCCTCTGGATCAGGGCTCAGATGTCCAGGCATTTCAAACTTAATATGTAGTTTCCTTCCTAAACAAACCATGTGACTCTTTTCTGAGCGGCCGCCAATAAAAAAACACGTTAACAATGGATCTGTGACACCAAGGTGTCAGGTTCACTGAATATTAACAGGTTTTTATTGGCTTTCCTGCATGACCGAGGGGGTTTTAAAAGGTAAAAACACATTATAATGTACAAAGCTACACTACAGGCAGTAATGGAGGTTCACCCATATTTGCAGTTAATTCAATGAATTATGTTCTCCCCGCGTCTTTGTGGGTTTCCTCCGGTTTCCCTCACCAACAAAAACATTGGATCTAGAGAAAGAAGGAAAGATTTAGACACAATCACAACTGTAGTGAACATGTGGCTTTGTGTCTGTTGGACGTGGAAGTCGAGTTGAAAATACAGTGACGTTACGACATGAAGCGCCATGTTTGTTTGGTTTTCACGCCCTTCTGTGACTTTTATGTTGACATGAATTTCTTTACAAATCAGAAACTAGTAATTACAGTAACTCCCATATTACATTAACACTGCACTCATATAAAGATCATGGCAGTGCTAGAAGTGGGCTGGTACTCAATTCTACATTTTACTCTTTGGCGTACTCTTCCTCCCTCTTCATATTGGCTTTTCTGGGCACTATGTGTCACCTGATCCTGTTCTGGACAGCCTGCTAATCTCTGTCAGCAGAACATAATTAGGTGAAGATTGGGTGCCTTTTACTGGCACCTCGGGATAAGTACCGCTACTCGGTACCTTTCGTGGTATCGACTGAAACAGCCCGGTATCGAGTAGAACCGAAACGTCTCCAGTCTGCGGCTGTTCGTCGTCTAGTCCAGAGTCACAGGTTCACTTTCATCTGCATGTGTTTAGCCTAGCTTAGCACAAAGGCCGGAAGCAGGGTAAAGCAGCCGAGCTGCATGAAAAGAGAAAACACACCAGTCTTCCAATAATAGGGTTTGGTATCGTTTCAGTTTTATCAAATCCAGTTTTTATGGACTCTCTGCTCTGGTTCCTTCGCCACAGATCTCCTTCCTCCTCTTCCTCCTCGCTCCTCCTCCCCTTCATGTCTCTAAAGTGAGAGGAGTCTCTGTCCTAGAGCGGCGTCTCTGGGACTCGTCTCGTCTGTAGCCATCGTTGGTTTCCCTTCAGTATAAAAGGTGAACGTCAGCTCACCTGTGTTTTGGACCTGAGGCGTTGCTGCTGTTAGCGTTAGCTGGTATATGCAGGAAGTTAGGAACCGAGGAGCAGGATCCAAACGCATGGGTCTTAACGAGTCCACGGGTCTTGGACACTGTCCAACAACTCCAGAGAAAGATCGAGAGAATCAATGATGGACGAGAAACTGAAGTAATTGTGTTTTTTGTTTTTTATTTCTGAGGTGACGACGCCTGTCTGTCTGAATGTTAAGTAGCACAGCAGCCTGCTCCACATTAGCCTCTCTGTATCTGGTCTATTTCTGCCGGAGATGAGTCCTTCTGGCCCACATTGTCATCTGGAGCATCACTTCATCCTGTTTACACCCTCAGACCTCCAGCTGAATCAGAAAGGATTCAGCCACCGGCGTCCTGTGGCTTCAGGTGTTTTGCTTAAGGGCACTGACGAGATGAAAAGCCGACTTCACCCTGTAAAAAGGAGAACCTTAATCACGTTGAGTCTCTCTTGCAGTGACACGTCGTTTCCTTTTTCCTTTAATGCCGTTTCATTATTTTATATCATATAAGTGCATTTAGTTTTTTAGGATGTTGGTGGAGGCCGGTTCAGAGCCACACCTGCAGGAGAGGGCAAAAGATGGAACAACAATGTGAAGTGCTGTCACAAAGTACTGCAGAACTGTGCCTTGTGAGGTAAGGTGGGAAGAGATGAGTTCAGATAGAGAGGTGACAAACTGAGAGGAATAAAATGAGAAATTAGCAGATGAGATGAGAGGAGATGGGTTTAAGAGAGGAGGAGAGAGATAAAATCAGATGAGATAACAGATTAGAACAGACGGGATCAGACGAGAGGAGATGGGGGATAATGACGCGACGTAAGAGAAGACATGAGATAAACTGAGAAATGATGAGCTGACAGAAAGTGCGTAGAGATGAGAGGACGAGAGATTGGAGAGAGATGAGGTGAGATAAAAGGGAGAAAGGAGGTGATTTGAGACACGAAAGGAGGTCAAGAACAAACATGTATGTGGTACAATATACATGAAAAACATGAGGATAAAGTGACCCGAGCTGCAGCATCTGGAACATCCACTACAGTCCTGCAGCTGAATAATACATGTGCTCAAAGTGTGTTCTGAGTGGACAGATAGCGAAGACGGCTGCGCTGCACTCAGGCTCTGTATCACCGAGCTACCTGCTGCCACGTACAAGCTGTGTGCGTTTGAGTCTTACATCTGTGTGTGTTGTTGTGTTTCAGAGCCGCAGCTGAAGGGCATCGTGACGCGCCTCTTCAGCGAGCAGGGGTTCTTCCTGCAGATGCAGCCCGATGGATCCATCAGCGGGAACAAGGACGAGAACAGCGACTACAGTGAGTTTTAACATGTTAAACACAGCTGTGCCACAAACACACCAGCCCCAAATGATCATTCACGATCATCTCAGCTCAAAGGTCCAGGTGCGTAAGATTTAGGGGACCTATGGCGAGCCTAAGGGTGGTTTCACATAGGGCTGTGCGATATGACGATATCTGTCGTTGGACAATTTGAAAAACGTTTACATCGCTGTGTCGCAAATTTCACACTTTACTGTAATATTCTGGTGAGGGGACGGCACTTTGCACCGCAGTGAAGTTATCTTTATGTTGGAATTTGACATCTATTGAAAGTCCAACGTAAAACTAAACTAATGTTGCGGAGAAGAAATCAAGTGACACGACACTATCCAGCAGTTACAGTGTACAATGTTTCCCCTAGGATGGAGTTATAGCAGCGGAGGTGAAGCAAAATTTTGTCTCAAACATGTCTCAGCAGTATTGCTCTTGTGTCCATCAGAATAGTTTAAAACTTCAGTGTTTTCCAAGTTTAATGTGAGTTTTAGCTGAATGTTTTGGTGTTTGTGGTCATGGTCAGGGTGGTGGGTGTTTGGGGGTCCTCCCCCAAGAAAATCTTTTGTTTTCCAATGACAAATATGTAATTTCACATCACATTGGGCCATTATTTTCACCATATGTCTGAACAAAGAGTTGGAAAAGCTGGAGCAGATGATAAATAACCAACAGCAAAACATCAGTCTGCTGGGGAGGAACTACAAACTTTAGATTTGGGGAAAATAATTTGGTTGGTTCTGATGCTCCACAGTGATTAAACATTTATTGAACAGAATGTTTTGGGCATCACCCCTAAAACCCTGTTAATATGACCTCAGAATTGTTACAGATACGCTTGTTCATGTTTGCCTTTTGTGTGCAAAATATGAAACCTTCTCCCTTCTGAGGAGCTTTTTATTTGCACATTAACATCTAAAAAGAAACGTCTCCTCATGAGCTTAAAAGGACGAGTTTGCATCACTAATTTGCTTTACTAACCTCAGCTCCTCCAGTCACCTCCGTCCTTTCTTTTCCAAAACACTTTTTCAGACTGAAAACTGAAAAATAATTGAATCAGTGTGTACAGGACAGAGTTGCAGACTGCACCAGTTTAGTCTCAGTTTGTACCTGATGTTCTCAACACTGGACAAGTAGGCAGTAATAATGACAAATAATACAGCTTCCAGTAACTTTCTATTGAGCTAATGTCAAGTTACATAGCAGCCAAAAGAGGCAGCCTGCTGTTGAATGCATATAGGGGAAACACTGCTGTATCTGTGCAGGGCTCCTAAAGTAAGAACCAGGGTTTTAAATTTAATTCTACAGTGGACTGGTAACCAGTGAAGTGCTGCTAAAACAGGTGTGATGTGCGCTCTTTTGTTAATGTTATTTAAAAGCCGTGCAGCAGAGTTCTGAACAGCCTGGAGACGGTAAAGCGCCTTCTTGCTCAAAGTAAAAGTAAAGTAAAAAGACTGTTACAGTAATCTAAACGAGAGGAAATAAAAGCATGAATGACCATCTCTGACTCACCCTTTGACACCAGTGTTCTTAATTTGGAAATATTCATTAGTTGGAAGAAACAACAACAATTAACAATTATTTAGTGTGGTATTCCAAGGACATCGCAGAATCAAGTTGTCACTTAAACACTGTTTAATACTGGTCAAGCAGTTAATTAAAGAAGAAAATTTATGGAACTCAGTTTCCTTAAACGAGCAGCACAGTTGAATGTCATCTGCATACAGATGGTGAGATAAGTCACTGAATTCACTAATTATCTGTCCAAGAGGAAATATATACAAAAGGAACAAACAGAGGTCCCTGAAAAGGTTGTATATCAGGATAAATATCGATATCGGGATGTAAATTTTTTGCCATATTGCACAGCCCTACTTTCACATCTGTAGTTTGGTTTATTTGGTCTGGACTTACAGCAGCCATCTCTACAACACTTGCCGGTTTGCACCTTCCTTTCAAACGTTTAGGTTTGTTAGATCACACTGCGTGTAGTAAATAAATGTATTTGCATGTTACCCTCCCATTACTTTGCACAATAAAACTGAAACGCCCCAAATTGCATATTCATTAAGGCAAAAGTACTAAATGAACAACACGTGCTGTCTTGTTCGTCATTCTGCTGCACACCGTTAGTAGATCAGCTTACTTTGCTGGTGATATCAAGTTTGCACACGTTTCTACTCACGCAAACCTTTAGTAAATCTGGCCCTATGTTGCTCAAGTGCAACAATCATCCCATAATGCACAGCGCAGCAGACTTCAGTAGTTGGTTTACTTTAAAAAAAACAAAGCGCAGTTCTTCCAGCAGTTGGGTCTGTTCGAGGTCGGATCATTTTCTCACCACAAACACACCGCTGGTTGGTTGAAAGCCGACTGAGCCCACCTCTTCGGAGGGAGAGAGAGATCGTTGCTTATGAGGCCCACGTGATTCAACATTTCCCTCTCACACGAACGCCAACGCACAAACACACACACAGCAGTCCACTACTTGCCCCAGATGTCTACGATATTGCAACAGGGTGTAGGCCTCCTGGTGTCACAACATAGTGGTTTAAGAGTAGTTCCCCTAAAGCATCAGGACTTTTAGAGGTAGATTTGCGAACGACGAGGTGAGAGCATCTGAAGAAGCCGCAGAACCAGAACCCTTTGCACTTTCATCATGACCACATGTGTTTGATACGACATATGAACTTCACATAAACCAAGAACAACGGTATCAAGAAAGGCTGTGCAGCTACAGTCACAAGGAGGAGGCTTCATGAAATCCCGGACCGGTCTTCCTCCTCTTCATCATCTTCAGACAGCAGCGATCACAGCGAGAACTGCAGCATTGCGTTGTGCTGGAGGCTGCTGGCACCATCAACATCACTTTAATCCCACAATAGGCCTGTTACATTTGTCTGGCTGAAGAGATGTTCTGTTGTCAGTTTCCATATGTTCTCCTCTTCATATGCGTTTCCTCTCTGACAGACGGATGTAAAATACAAAAGATGATGGAAGAATTATGTCCATATTCATAAAGCTCGAGCTGCAGAACTGATCAAAGTTGACTTCTCTGAAACTGACATCCTCCAAGTCACATGGAGCACGAACCGAAAGCTGGTTTTTAATAAACATCTCTAACTTTATTTAACAGCGTGCACATGCACACACCGCAACGTTTTTTTTAACTTTTAAGATGGATTATTACCATGAAATGCTGCTAACTCGAGTCCTTAGCAGATTCTGTGTGCAGCAGAACAACATGATTGGTTTCTGATCATGGAGGAAGTCAACAAGGTTGTGAGTGTGAGCAGACATTTGATGCCAGCAGCTCAGGATTACAGACTCTGCTTTTAAACCCTCTCCTTTGATTTGGAACTGAGAAAGAGGACAAGAGGAGGAGGAGGAGGAGATGTTTTGGATTTCCCTCTCTCTCTCTCTCTCTCTCTCACATCATCTCTTGTCTCTGAGTTAAATAAAGGAGGATTAACAGCAGCCATCGCCACAGGCCTCTTCTTCCTTCTCCACCTCCTCCTCCTCCTCTTCCTCACCCACGCTGCAGCTCTCTGTCCCCGAGGATTAAATCCCCCCCCCCACAGTCTCTCTCTCTTTCTCAGTGTATCACCCGGAAACCCGGCGTCACATCCAGCTGGCTGCAGATTTATCAGCGAGCAGTTTAAAGTGGCTTCATGTGACAACTTTCAGTTTGAAGGAAAAGATTTTAACAAGAAGCCTTTTTTTGGTTTCAGTTTCATTTTGTGTGACCTCTCTCTCTCTGTCTCTCTGCCTGTGTCTCTCGCCCTCCAGCTCTGTTTAACCTGATCCCGGTAGGTTTGAGGGTTGTGGCCATCCAGGGAGTGAAGGCTGGACTCTACGTGGCCATGAACGCAGAGGGATTCCTCTACACATCAGTAAGAACATCCGTCTGTCTGTCTGTCTACGCAGGACAGTTTACTCTCTTTCACTTCAGGATTTTGTAGCTTGAAGCATCTCAGGCTGCTAGCAGAGCTTCACGATTTTGTGACAAAACTAACGTTTAAATTTGAACATACACTGTACGATCTGAGCTCATGCAGGGTACAGGGGGAAGCGAGGGCCAATCAACCAAACGGTCGTCGGACGGTCGGATGAATTTCTGACATGTCAGAAATTTTGGTCGTCCAACGTCAGGTTGTCGCACAGTTGAGTCGATCCCTCATGTTTTAGCCTTGTTAGCATTATTGGTTAAACTCTTACCTGCCTCTGAGCTTTCAAAGCAGTCTTTGTTGAATATTCGATACCCAGAATGGTCCACAGGGACCGACGGGATAGTTTATGGAGCAGTCGGGTCGTGGATGACCATCGGACGTATATCTTGGCTTTGGTTTTACGTCACAGAGGATTTACACGTACAGTCTGAGTTAAAAACAGTATTTTGGAAGTTGCCCAATGAATGCTCGCTTAAGTGAAAAGTTCCCCAAACCACAAATAATTTTCTACTTAACACCAGCTAAAAATATTCACATGCTTAATATCCAATACGCATTCAGTCATTTCCTGCTGATCTGGTGATAACAAAGTTCCTTACTTTAAAGGAGAGCTATTATACTGCATTTCCAGCCCTATATTGTTGTTCTGTGACTCCTGTATTGCAGCTTTGCATGATTCAAAAAAATCATTATCTTAAACTGGCCCTTCATGCAGGCCCTCATTTCATACAGATGCACCTGTCTCTTTATGGTTCTTCTTTTTGGTGTATTTCACTTCCTGTCTCTAGATTATGTTTTTGTCATTCATTAATTCTGTGCTTCCTGTTTTACTTATTCTAACTTTGGTTATTAAACACTGACAAACGGGGGCGGAGCTAGCCTCTCAGCACAGTGTGGGCGGAGCTTCATCATGTGGCCCATCTGCCACAAAGTCATTTAAACCAAATTTACATGACCAGAGACTCACTGCAAAAGTCCACTGAGTCCATCTGTGTCGCTGCTGCCGTAGCTGATCGCAACCATTCTACTAAATGTTTGTGCTCACACGAGAAGCCCAGCAGTCCCAGCGTCAAGCAGCACAGAGTAGATATATTGGGCAGGAAGTCACAGAAACGGCACAGAATCTGGTCAATTTTCAAAATAAAATACCCGGTACAGACTTCCAATCGTTTATTAACAATAAACAGAGTTAAATCAGACAAAAAAGAAACAATTTAACTACGTAGCTATTTAATCATAGTAGAAGCACAAAAAGCAAGCAAGACCAAATCAACAAAATCTAAACGTGTTGGCAAAATCCGGCATGCAAAAAGCTCTTATTCTGAAATGCCCCCCGTGGTAGTTGTTTGACGCACCCATCATAACGATGAATGAAAGCGGGTCACAGAGAGCCGTGAAGAACGTAGCAAAAGCACAAAAAGAACACACCGTATTAAAAAGAAGTTGTTTTAATGTGGGGCAGCTGCACGCTACGCTGCTGAAACACTTCTGAGAGGCTTCCAGTGGACTTTACGCCGTAAATAAACCCTTACGCAGCCTACGTCCGTCCCTCAGAATTCCTATGATGCACGAGGCGGAAGGGAGTTTTGTTAAAATGTGCTAATAAGGTTAACATTTCTTTCAAATAGAAATGTTACTTTATGATTTATGTTTATTAAAATGTGTCTCCTTAGAATACAGTGTTTTTGTTGGTAGTTCTTAATTATTGTGGTGGTTTGCTATTGAAACCATGCTTTTGCTGAATGTTGCCGGCAGACGCGTATGCAGCGCTATTGTTCGTCTGCGTCGACATCAATAGAGCTAAACTCCCCCTCGTACGGGGCCCCCTACCAGGCGGGGCCCTGGGGCGGCCGCACCCATGCTCCCACGCTGCCTCCGCTTATGCTAACAACTGAACTTGCTCAGCCAGAGTGTCTACTATAACAAAATGATCTGACTACATTATGGACCCAGCAGACATAAATGTTTTATCGGAGAATCTAAGAGAGTGGTGCTCCATTTCTGAGGGATTACATACTGCCATTAAGAATTCCATGACTTAAAGCGCAGACTGTTGAACCCAGTTTCTGAACTTACCACAGATGGTGGAGCAGTTAGAAGCTATTTCTCAACTCAAAATGGACTTACAGTTTTGCCTGGAGTCACCCACCAACTATGAGGCTGCCTAGCTTCTCGTCCTTGCTGCTGGACCTCCAGTCCAGCTGCCCTGTCTTCGGCTTCCCATGCAGCCACCTTGTAGCTAACCTCAGGTCCAGCTGCCCTGTTGCCAGTCTCTGGTCTCGCACTCAAGCCATCAGACTCCAGTTTTGGTTTGCAGTCTTGTTGCCGACCTCCAGAGGGGTACCACCTTTGCCGTCGGCATCTAGAGGGATTCCTTCTTTGCCGCTGAGCTCCTGGTCGTCCTCCAGATCTGTTGGCCCTTGTGTCCTGCCTCCGGGCCACCCTCCGGAGGTCTCCTACTCTGCTCCGATCGGGCGATCCACCTTAGAGCTCTTGCCCTTTTACTCATGTCCCCGGACACTTGTCCCTGATTTCAGTGGTATTCTGGATCATATGGTTAAATTATCAGACCGTTTCTTATTAAACTGCAGTATTTTGCTGCGTTCATGAGCTGCTTTAAAAGCAAAAATCAGGGAGCTTTACTGTCTTGTTCAAGGACACTGAAAATATCCGGCCCAAAAGATAAAGTTCTTCACCGGCCTTCTCATTTACTGTGTGTGATCAGTGATCTTATTTCAAGATATTTATATCAAAATGTCAAATTATCTGACCGATAAAGTTCCTCCCATCTGAAGAAAAACTGTGGAACAAAAAGCTCCATTTTAGAACAGTATATTATATTAACAATAATAGTGCAGGGCAACGATTAAACCTTTTAATTGCGATTACTCGCATTTTCTGCTGTTGTTATGCACAAAATTAAATAATGAATTCTGAAGTAGTGTATTGCGCACTTTTAATTTAAATGTACTGCTAAATACACAAAAGTGCAATAACATGTGGTTTGCGAACACTTTAAACAAATAAGCGAGAAAAAAAATAGTAATAATAATCTGAGCAAAAATAATAGGTTCCTTGCACTTGTGCACCGTGCTCGGGCCCTAATAATCTGATAATGGTAATGATTAAAGGACAGCCCTGATTAGGCCGCAGTGCGGACAGAGTACAGCCACAGTTGTATTGCTGCTTCGCCTCAGTGAGTCCATCCATCATCCATAATTCATGTTTGCTCCTTCCATAAATCTTTAAAAGGATATTCTTCAGTCGCTGTGTGCACAGCATTAGAAATGAGATGGAGTGATGGAGAAAGAGAGTGATCATGAAGCTGGAGGTTCTGTGACAGACAGGAAGCTTCAATTTAACAAAGGTAAATTTGTGATGAGTCCAATGCCTAAATATCCCACAAGCCCGAGCAGTGGCCGTATTGTCACATTCTCACAGGAACTGAAAATCTGATGTTTGGGTGGTAACCGGCTCACTGGCCTTTTATTGTGAGACTGATTTGTATTGGTTAGCTAACAAGTGAAACGAGATAAAGTTTGTAGCTAATTTTAATGAACTGAAGTGTTTTAGTGTTAATGTTAGAGTTTATTTAGGTGTAACTGCGACTGATAGAGGCTCTTTTTGGGAAAGACTGTAGTTCTTAGAATATTAACATATGTCCAATTTGATATAATTGATGTGAACATGTCTTCCCACTAGCATTTGATTCGATTTGAAGGGCTTGTTCAATATCAAGATAAAGACACAAAAAAACAATATCTCCCTGTACGCAGATAATGTCTTGCTTTATGTCCAAAATATCCTGTCCCGCGACTGCATCTTTTGCAGTTTTGGTAATGCCTGCTGCACACTGGAGGATTTTCAGACACAGACTTTAGCCACAGACAAAATGACAGAATTACAGAAATTTCAGTCCAGATGCAGGACCACACACTTGCCATTTATACGAAAAGGTTTCAGTGAGGCGGTTCCGGGGCCTTCGGAACTTACAGAATTTCAAGTGATCAAATGTGACTTCAGACAGCAACAAACATGGAGGCAGCCTGGCGTTGTCAGCTTGTTGACTTTGTGTGTGCTGTGTTTTCCACAGAAAAACAAAAGATGAGAATCAAATGGTTTATACATTTTATAGTGCGAGCAGATCAGCTTACTCTCCTTGGCTGTTGTAGGTTTCCGATCCAGTCAGCAACCTTCAGATTCTCTCTGTAAAGCCAGGATCATTTGGGCCGATAATCTGTTCCGACTAGCCTCGGATTGCCAGGAGAGCGAATCGGACCCAACATCGGTCCAGTTAAGTGCAATTTATACTTCTGCATCAAAGTAGCCTGACGTGCACCTCCTCAAAAATGTAACTACATGTCGAGACCACGCTCTGTGATTGGTCGGTTGGGTAGCCTCGCAATGCCTCCGTGCCGACAGGAAGTGCCCGTGCTTTGTAGTAATATTTACTAGCGGCCGTAACACGGTGGATCAACATATTTGACCATCACAACCCGAGCGAAATGACTCATTTCACTATCAGAATGTGATCCATTCGGTTGATAACATTTGTAAAGGCTACACCAGCCACACGTTTACAATTTTATCCCCATTCACGTTAGCGGAGGGCTAAACCGGAAGTTAGCTCACTGCTCACCCAGTAAAAGTCAACACAGTGGACGCTGTAGCGCTACTGCCGACTGGCGTTTGGGGGTGTAATTGCATATTGACGGACACACGGACGCACAAGTATAAATGCCTCGCTATGTGCGTAGCCTACGGCGTAGCTACGCACGCAGACCCTACGCAGGAGTATAAATTAAGCTTTATCCTCTAGTGTGTGTGTTTAGTGTGTTTCAGCCAGCAGACATCACCACAGAGCTTCAAGGTAAATTTTGCACTCAGTTGCATTAAGTCTTTTTTTAAACGTCCCCTCCCCTTTGCGTTAGTTGCTTTGAGAGAGCATTGAGGGACAGCAGACACTTAAATAGAAGTTAAATAGATGCTTTGCATCTCACACCGCTCCACGGGTTTTCACTTCTAGTCTCTGCTTCTGTAACTGCACATACAAACATGCACATCGGGACCAGGACACGCCTCCACCACGGTCTTCTCCCTGCCCAGGAACAGCTTTCACCACACTTACTAGGTGGCAATGTAAAGGTAAAGCTCCTCACAGAGCGGAGCTGCTTCACACAGTCAGTTGAAAATAAAGTTGTGGTGTGTGCTCGAAGGCCCCGCTGTCTAAACACTGCTTATCTGAATTATCACATCTTGATGCAGGCGCCTCCCTCTGTTTCCACAACCCTCCTCACTTCTCCGTCATCTTCATCCTCCGCTGAAGCCCCTTTTTTTCTCCTCCTCTGTCTTCTTTTCCCTCTTTTTCTTTGTGTCATAGATATTTTATGTGGAATTAATTAACTCAGCCCTTTATTCACATTGTACGGTGATGTTTACTGAATTTGCAGGATCCCTAAATTACTAGATTTAATCAGAAGAAGAACAATCAGAAGGAGCTTTTTTGCCAAGTAGTGTTTTACAAATAAAAGGAATTTGCTTTGGTGATTCGGTGCTACACGCAGACAAACATACAGATGACATAAATAGATGTAGAAATATATAAATATGGAATAAACAAATGCAAGTTATATAAGAATAATCAAAAATCATTTGCAGAACAAAGAACAAAGTGGCAAATATTTACATGTGCATTACTCTGGTTTGTGTTGTGCAGACGTATTGAAACAGAAGAGGATGTTGTGTGCATAAATATATAAATTGACAATAAAAAAAATAAAAATGACAATAAAACAACAAAGATTAACAATTAACAACAGATATGTGCAATGTGCCAGGTTCGTGCATGGTATGAAATGAAGTGATATTTACATGTGCAGAGACGATTGCATTGTTATATTATATTATAATGTTAAACTTGATCCTAATTCAGCAAAACAACATTGTTCTGTAGCTCCACACCTGTCTGTTGCTTAACTAGCAAAAAAAAATATTGATCATTTAAGAGGGAAAAGCAGTGCTGAGAACCGATGAGACTGAAAGAACACTGAAAAGGTTTCCGTCCAGCTGCTGAAATTTTAACTTTAACACCAACAAGAATTTCCAAAGCTGTCACTTCCCTCCAGTCTGAGCTGTCGCAACACCCGATAACACATGTTGAAATGATGAATTAATTAGTCAATCAACAGAATCATTAATGAGTATTTAGTGATTTATGGGTCAAACATTCTCTGGTGCTGTCGCTCCATTGTGAGGTTTCTCTGTCGCAGTAAACTGGATCTTTGAGTTTTGGACTGTCAGTCGGACAAAACGAGACGTCACCTTGGACTTGGATTAATTGATAATAAAAATAATCAGTCGCAGCTCTAATTATAACATAACTTTGAAAATAGGACACATAGGTGTGCAGCTGAAGAGATCCGATATCTAACAAACCACAGTCTTATTTCTACTCTTTGAAAGCAAGTGTTGACTGTTAGAACAGGTTTCTGCATTGTGTGGGTTTGTTCTGCTCTGATTGACTCCTTACTCCTCTTTGACCACCTGTTATATCCAGAGGGCACACACACACAGCACACACACACACACAACACACACACACACACACCTGTTATACCTGGAGGAAACTGCAGTGTGCTAAATTTACTTTAATCCGTCCCAGCAGAGTGAAGTTTGGCCTCAACAGTCCGTAGTTAACAGCATGGATCTGTGAGACATGAACACAGTGTCAGTGCAGAGCAGTGAACGTACAGTGAGGCTGTAAGACGAATCCACCCAGTGTCCACTTTATAAGGTCCATCTAGCTCAATTTATCACAGTTCAGTACAAGGTGAAGGTTATGGCTGAATCCTGATCTCAGCACTCAGAATTTGAGGAGCATTCCCAGCAAGTCAACCCGTTCTCCCCTTTGGAGACCTGTTTGTAACGCCCTGTAGCATTGTTTATGAACGCTAAAGGTAGTTGTGGGATGTTTAACACAAAAGTCACAGTAAAGAGGTGGTTGGGGTGAATGATTGGGCCAAAAACCAGACTTTCACCCAGGAAACCATTGTTTCCCATGTGACACGAACAGTCAACATTAAATGTTATTATTTACTAATTACGTTTTAGTTGGTGCCCGAACCTGACTAAATTACGACTTTTCACAACACTAACCACTAGTTTTCTTTTGAAAGTCTAACCGGACGTTGCATATATATTCTTGGAGCCCTATACGTACAAAAACGTCACCAAAGCGTATCCATGGTGAATTCAAGGGGTCTGACCAAGCGTCGACATGTGACCGGCCATTCCTCTCTCAACTCGTCAGGTGCGTGAGGGCTTTCCCGCAGACTTCCGGTAAGACTGCATCTCTGCAGACTTTGCCTGAGGGAATTACCCACGGTTCATTGCGTTGTGACGGTTACCTGGGGAACACAATACAAACACAAACACAGCTTCCCCAGGTAACACGAAGTTACCTGGGGAAGCTGGCATTAAAAAAAAGGTACACAAACATAGAAGGAGCAGCTAGCGCCTCGGCCGTGAAGAAAGTATTTCGGGCCCTTGCAGCCTCTGACACTTAAAGGAGACCTGTTATGCTTTTCCACATTTTATGACTTATCTGTAATGTTATAATGTTGGATGTTCATGTTAAACGTGGCCAAAGCTTCAAATAATGAGGTTAAAGTATTTAAAAGAAATCTCTGTGAGCAAAAACCTCAGATTTCCTCCTGTTCTGAACGTTTTCAACTGCTTTTTCTACCAACGGCTTCGTTCATCGACACACAGAGCCAGACGGAAACGCTGTTCCATTTATGGTCATTTGCTCCCATAGCAACAGCACGGAAACGCTCAGTCTGCCTGTTCCGCCCAGCGACAACAACAGCCTGGTAACATGTTTCAGGTCTTGGCCAATCAGAAGACAGTGGGCTTTGAGAGGGGGGGCCTTAAAGAGACAGGAGCATCTACAGCTTGTTTCAGACAGAGGCTGAAATGAAGGCCTTCATGAAGAACCAGTATAAGACAAAAACTTTTTTTTTTTTTTACTTTGAATCATTAATCATCATACAGGCATCACAGAACTACAATATAGGACTGGAAAACCAGTACAATAGGTTTCTTTTAAGCACTTACCAGGTGATGTCAGCTAAGCCTTTGAGGATTCAGGGTTTAGGGTGGAGGTTTGGCCGTTAATGTTCAGTTTGTGTGGATTCAACCTGATGCTAGTTTTTTCCAGAGCCTTCAACCACATCTCTCTTAAGTAGCAGAACATGGATATCAATCAATCAAACTTTATTTACATAGCACCGTTTGTGCTTGAATGCAATGCAAGATGCTTTACAGCAAAAAGAGACGTTATAGGTTGATAGGTATAATTCTGTATCATCTGCATAGCTGTGAAAGTTTTCTAATGATAGGTCAGGTGTCAAAGGTTTACGACGTTCCTGACAGATAAAGTTCATTGATTGATTTGTTCCATACTTGTATCCAGCGTTGGAAGAAGAACTCTGTTACGTCTTATCTGCAGCCATAATAGTAAATCATTACTTAAATATAACTATGACTTATTGTGTATTGTATTCTGTGTTGTTAATCTGAATTTCACTAAAGTCAAATAAACGTGGTGTTGTATAAAGTAACAGAAAATGGAGTACCTCAAAAGTGGACTTGAGTAAATGTACTCTGTACCTCTGTTTCATGCCTTCGCTCTGTGTGTGTCTATGTGTGTGTCAGGATGTGTTCACAGGAGAGTGTAAGTTTAAGGAGTCTGTGTTTGAGAACTACTACGTCATCTACTCGTCCACGCTGTACCGGCAGCACGAGTCGGGCCGGGCCTGGTTCCTGGGCCTCAACAAGGACGGGGTCATCATGAAGGGAAACCGGGTGAAGAAAACCAAACCCTGCTCACATTTCGTCCCCCGACCCATCGAAGGTGAGGCGAACACACCTGTGCACACGCGGTTTCTCAGTCTTCCCCAGAGCCCAGAGCTTCATCTCCAGTGCAACGATGGATGTGTTTAGCCTAGCTTAGCACAAATACTAGAAGCAGGGGAAACCTGTTAGCCTAGCTCCATCCAAAGAGACAAAATCCGTATCTTCAAAGCTGAGTCATTCACATGACTGAACAGGTGTAGAAATCACCTGGGTCTTGACCTGGTGAACAATGGGGGCCTTTTAGACCAAAGCAACATTATGTAAGATGTGTTTCTTTGTGTGATTTGGCGGCCCTAGCGTTTCAATTCACCACTGCACTAAATAATGACATCTGTACACGTGCATTTGTTATGACATTACTATCAAAAACTAGCAACAGCCAGACATCAAGCAAGCGCAACACAAGACACAACGATGTTACTGACTTATTATTATTTTCTCAAGATCTTGAATTAATTATGTTATTATGTTGGGGGAAACAAAGTTTCTTATCTCCGGAAAACAACATTTGTTATTTCAAAATAATGACATAAATCACTTGAGATCTCAAAAAAACGAATTAAATTAGCACGTTATCATGGGACAACAGAGTAAATATAAATGTATGAATGGATGGCCTCTTATACTGTGTTCACATACAACGTGAATTTAATCCTAGCTACGCTTTCCTCGCGGGGTGTTTTTCGCTGGACAACTGCCGAGTGTTCACACATAACGCAATAACGCAAATAAACACAACCCGCGATTCCTACAGCTGTATGAACCCAAAGTAAACATTTTGCTGTATTAATTCCAATAAACAGATCAAACTGATGCTGAAATAGCTGCAACATGATGCAGATTTGTTAAACATATGAATTCATGCTTTGTCAGGTCTGTCAGCAGGACAACAACTAAAATGTTTGTTTTCTGAATGGAGTTTGGTTCGATCAGGGCTATGCTACGCTAACCTGTTCACAGGAAAGTACAACGACAGCTGGAATAAAGTTACAGACACATATTTTCTGAACTCACCAGGTAGTTCAACCTCCTCACTGTCTTTTCTCCAAGTAATGTTCAGTTTTGTCCGGTTTTTATATAAATATGAAGTAGCAGTCCAGCAGAGCTCCGACGCTAACAACAACAACAACGGTGGAACCGGATGTGAATGGAAGCTGCTGAGACTACGGGGGTTTATTTGTCTGAAAGCTGCAGTGCTGCTCCCCGTCCACTTCCCCGTTCTTTAGCAGCTCCCCGTCAGCCAGCAGCGTTTCACTCCAGCTCTGCCTGGCCCTCTCCAGACAAAGCTCCGAAGCCGTCGGTGACGTCCAGATCTTTGCATTGACCTTGTGTGTAATCAAGCCGCGCAAAACGTTGGATTCGCTTTCAGTGTGAAAACAGCATTAGGGCTATCGTATTTCTTTCTTTTCAAAATACAGGTGTAACCATGATTCTGCACGACCGCCAGAGTCTGGATTTACTGATTTAGGTTTACGTTTCTTTTTCAGCTTACATTCAGTGAATGAAAGCCAAAGATTATTAATAAACAGCTGCTATTCGTGTGATTCCTAAAGAATTCTTTGTGAGGAGAAACATAAGGTCTGCGGGGACAGTTTTGGGGGGTCGGATTGGGGAGTTTTTGTGGATAAAAGTCGCACTTGAAGTCCGGAGCTCGTGGTGCGTTTGAGGTCTGAGCTGCGTAGGTGAAGAGCTGAAGGTGAAGCAGCTGGAGCGGAGGACAAGGTGAAGCTCTAATATCACAGATGGAGGTTTAACAGGAAACATGAGGCTCTGTCTCTGCTTTCAGCTGCTCTGTCTCCCCCCCCCTCTCTCCTCCTCTCTCCCCCATCTTCATTTAGAAATATCTGCCACCTCCCTCTCTGTCCATCTTCTCTCCTCCTCCTTCTTCTTCATCCTCTCCACATCTCAATTTTCCCATTTCTCACCCTTTCCTATTATATTGCCTTTGTCAAACTCCACCTCCTTCTCTCTTCCTTTTACCTCCCCCATTCCCTTCCCTTCTCTCTCCGTCCTACACACATGTACATGCATATTTTTACGTCTGATTCCATGTTGATAGTTGTTGATGTGGCTGCTGCAAAGACGTCTCACCCGGGTTATTAAAGTGTTGTTTTTCTCCCCCCTCCTCCCCCCTGCAGTCTGCATGTATAAGGAGCCGTCGCTGCACGAGCTCGAGGAGAAGCTGCTGAAGTCGAGCTCGCGGAGCCCGACGCTGAACATCGGGGAGCGTGCGAGGAGCCGGGAGCGTCACCAGGAGGAGAAGCAGGACTGCACACAGCAGGACGGATCATAGCCTGCAGCGCCCCCCACAGGCGGAGGAGGAGGAGGAGGCGAACTCCCATTTTAACACTCCCTCTGTTCAGCAACAAAAGCAACTACAGCCACACCAACGACAAAACAACCGCCACGACGATGACGAGGCAACAACAACGAAAACAAAGAAAAAATCAAGCTAAAAAAAAAAAACGGGGGGAGGTCTTCTTGCTTGTGTTGAAATGTTTGAAATCTAACGGGGTGGGGGGGGTGGGGGGGGCAGACGGGGGGGCTTGATGATGATGATTTACATTTTATGCAAAAGCCCTGCTGAGACGGCGCCCGGAGGCTAGCACACTCTTCATCGCCACATAGTAATCATCATCACTGTCACGACGATGACAAAATGTTTTCCGTGTCGAGCGAGCGCCGAGAACTCCGAAGCTTTAAGCCATGTAGAAACTTCACTTCCCCTCATTTCTTAATGAATGCAAAGACTTTCGCACTTTCGACACGCGCTTCTTCTTCTACTGCTCTGTGCTGTTCTGTCCAATCAGAGAGAAGAGTTTTTCTGTTTCGTCTTCTCGTTTCTGTCTGGGTTTTATTTATTTTTTTGGGGGGGGGGTTGCAGACACTGCCGATAAAAAGCCTCAGAGGGAAATGAACGCTGAGAGACTTCCTGTTCAGACCGGAGGAGGTCAGCTGATCTGGTTCCTGTTTGAGATTCGAATCCATCCGTCACTTTTTACATTGATTTCCTTCCTCTCAGACAGAAACAGATTTCTGTGAAAATCAATTATGTAAATCTAGAAAAGCACACGTTAATTGTTCCCGCCGTAATACTGGTAATCAAACAGGAGAATTTACAGGTGCAGTGAGCCTTTCGGCCCTGAGTAGTGTCTACAGGCTTTGTTCTTAGGCTGCAGAAAACCACAACAAACTCAACTAATCAGATGGTCAGGGCAGCCTGAGATGCAAAACCCAGTGCAAACAAATATGTAGGTAACGATTAAAGGTGTAAAAGAGGAAACCAAGTTGAAAACCTGAGAGATAAACAGAAAGCAAAGAGGGAGAGCTCTGATGTCGGAGGGCCCTTGAATGCACCGACACTGACAGCTTTCAGTCTTCCAACCTGATACTTACTGGAAAACATCTGTCCCGTTTACTGGCTTTGACAGAACGCAGGTTTTTAAAGAAGTTATCTGGCTGCACGCTCGAGCTGAGCTGCTTCAATTGTGCATACAAATATAAACGTTAAACTTTTGTCCATATGGACGCGCTGCGCAACCTTAGGAAGGTCAGCTTCTCCACAGGTCAGTCTCTGAGTTAATTTTATAGAAACAATGAGCAGCAGTGTGTTTTTGACGTTGGCCCAGATGGGCTGGATCAAACAAAGGATTTGGAATTAACGTGTTACCCGATAGACAGGTAATAGTCATACTGTCACCTATTTCTTATCTTTGCTTAGAGGAATTAAAGGCCGGTCCAATTTCAGCCCGTTCTCATTCCCAGAGCGTCAAATAGCTACGCCTGGTCACGTCGTTCGGCGTCTGGTCCAAACGGCAGCCTTTCGCATCATAGTTCAGCACACCGGGGGAAGCTCTTTAGCGCCATTCTTCAACTACAAATAACAGAAAGTAAGGAGGTGGATAGGTGGGACAAAAAAACTTGTGGTTCCTTTTAGTCAGTCCCTCCAGGATTTCATTTTTGTGATTGTTGTGGCCCCAAATGCCTGATTTTACAGCAGCTTTTTAAAAAGAACTAAGGGAATAAGTGAAAACTGCAAAAGTAGATGTGATTAAACAGTCCCTCCAGGACTCGGCGGGCCTGACCCTGCGTATTTAAACCAGCTGACCTTGATTCTGTCCTGCAGCTGAGCGGGACGCAGCGTCTCAGCGTCTCGTCTGACGTCCTCCGTGTGTTTCTGACGTTCTCTCTCAAAGCGTTTGTCAGGAGACGATCTCCTTTATATTTGACCACGACGCTGCACGCTCTGCAGAACAGTTTCCCCGCTTTGGTGACGAAGATCTGGATCCTGGTCTTCATGGTCCCCTTTGCTGTTCTTGTTGTAGGTAAATGGGAGACGTTGGCATCGCACACGTCTGCTGCGTCTTCTGAACAAGGAAGTGAGTTTGCTGACATGTGACAACGTTTGGCAGGAAACGGCGATGAGAGGTCAAAAGTCGCGCTGAATTCACCGGGATTTGTTGAATTTGTGCTCATAGTTGCGATGGCGACATCGTGAAAACCTGGAGGGACTGAATAGTGATGTTATGAAACTTACTTACTTGATCTTTTGCTAAACCTAAAAAACTACGACATTTCACATCATCGACCACTAGTTTTATTTTGAAAGTCTAACCGGACATTTATGCTTGCTTACTTAATCCGTGTACGGTTCGTTCTTTGATTATTTCATGTCAAAACCAAATCGGAGAAAACAACAAAACAAGTAGTTTATTGTTTTTTCTGTTTTAAAACCAAAATGGAAAGTCGCTGCGTTTTGTTCTGTCTGTGGCTGCTGTTGTATCCCTGCTGGTTTGCAAACTAACTGGCTGCTTTACCCGTGCGCCTCTTTACAGCTGTGCCCTGCGTCGGGCTTCATCCAACCAGAGGGGACGATCGCCGACCCGCCGCAGCGCACCAGGCCGCTCCCGTGACCTCCCCTCCCTCGTCCTGTTGGCTCCAGCGCCCCGCTCCCCCTCCTACTAAGGGTTGTGTTGATCAGTGGAACTGCTGTGACACTAAAATGTGTGACCAATCAGATTCTGTGACCCAAATGGGAAGTTAAGCGCCAGAGGCTTTGTTGACGATGTGAAGCGGTTGCAGTTTGGTTGGGTTTAGGTATTAAAAGTACTTTGTTATGGTTAGGAAAACATCGTCGTTTGGGTGTAGTCACAGAATCTGATAGGTCACAGATTTTGGTGTGGAGCTCTGGACGCTCAGCGGTCGTTCCCCCTGGCTGGATGAAGTTCGATGCTCCTGTTTTGGGGGTTAGGGTGATCCATGTGTACCTGCAGCTGGGGGCTCTCTGCAGCGCCACGCAACTTTCTAAATTCTTCCATCTCACGAAGAAAATAAAGATCAGGTACACTCGGGCACATTAAATATCTAAATCTGTATTTCTCAGTCTTGTTTTAAAAACCAATGTCTGTTTTTTTGTTTACCGTTTTTGCCGTTTTGGTTTTGAAACGAAATAATCCAAGAACAAACCATACACAGATTTTACTTGACTGCGGAGCGCTACGTGTGCATAAAGGACGCTAAAGGGTCTTGACAAAGCGTCCATGCGTGACGGCCTGCGATGAGAACGGGTTGCTCTGTGAGGTCGGGCTGAACCCTGGAAGGAAGCAGCTCAGTCTGAAAAGTGATGATGACGAGCAGGAACATGAAGCAAGAAGGACGGCGCAGATGTTCGTGCTGCGTTCAGGGTCCCATCGGATCAAAAGCTCTTGTATTTCTCGTTGTTGAGAAGATGCAGGCAGAAATATTTAATGATATATTTTCCAAAAGCGTGCCGAAACCCCCGCAGCCGTCCGGGGGTTGGGGGTGTTGAATGATTTATACTAACAGCTGTGTTGTGTAACCCTGATCCGGTCTGAACAGGACTGAACTGAGGGACCTGTCCCGTCCAGGCGTGTTCACAAACTCTGTATGATACCATATGTGAATGTGCTGACGAACGACACAGCATGTATTCAAGAGCCTCAGACGTTCACACTGTTCTGAGCACGACTGTATGTTTGGTTTTCGGCTCAGCGGTCGGGCCACGCTGAGCTCTGATTGGTGCACGTTTTAAAAAAGGGGCGTGGTGATTTCAAACTTTGTGAAACAACACGGCTTGTTCACCTCACGAGCCAATCAGAGGCAACCTGATGATGTCAGGCTCCCCCAATCAGCTTTCCAGCAGTGTCTCCAGCTTTGGGCAGCAGCGGCACGTCGCAGCTGATTATTAGTAATTAATGGTTTTTGGGAAGGCGCCTGGGCTCACAAAGACAAACATATCTCCTCATGAATCAGATGTTTTCCTTGCTTAGGCTGCCATGATCTGGGTTTAATAATCCTTTTTTAAATTATTGATTATTGGCCTCTGTTCCAAATTAGTTTTTAGTTTTAGGTTTTGGCCGTCAGTCAACACGTCCGCCACATCTGACTGAAACATTTCAGGGAGTTTTGAAGATAAAGTGTTACGCAGTCCCTGGTCTAGTGTTGTGTTCAGGTGTCGGCTGATGGGAGGGTTTTGCTAACAGATTTAACACTGCCCTGCTTCGTTTAGACGAAAAGCACTGCCCTGACAACTGTACGCTGTTTTCCTCCGACCTCGTCTGAACGCCACGATCGTCACACCTGAAATCACTTCAACATCTCTGCTGATTGTTTTCTAAATCCTTCATCAGTCACTTCACCGCCACAGAAATCCACTTGCACTGACTGCGCTGAAACAGGAAACAGACGAGCGTGGAAACAAAAATAACACGCTCACGATTAATTCTGGTTCCAGAGAGTGACGTTCAGACCGAGTCGCTGCACTGCCCTCTCCAACCGTCACTACTTTCCTTCATCTTCTTCGTCTTCTTACTCGAACCCTTTACTCGTCTCAGAAGTTACCGACCGGGTTTCCCAAAAGCATCGCCACCATTTCCGGGTTTACAAAGATCCGCAAGTAGAACCCATCTTTCACACGGAGCTATAACAACGACCTCCTGTCACTGCCTTCGCTTTCCTCAACAGGAGAAAATAATGTGTTTAAAACATTTTATAGAGCTGATGACGACGAGAGAAGCAGGATGTATAGAAAAGCATCTGTGCCGCCATTTTTTAGGGTTGGGTATCGTTTAAATTTGATCGAATCCGGTTCTTATGGACTCTCTGCTCTGGTTCCTTCGCCACAGATCCTCCTCGCTCCTCGTCCCCTTCATGTCTCTAAAGTGAAAGGAGTCTCTGTCCTAGAGGGGGCGTCTCTGGGTCTCGTCTCATCTGTAGCCATCGTCGGTTTCCCTTCAGTATAAAAGGTGAACGTCGGCTCACCTGTGTTTTGTACCTGAGGCGTCGCTGCTGTTAGCGTTAGCTGGATCTGGGAGAGCGCGACACGTTGAACACGGTGAAGCGTTCCTTCAGATTCACGCCGTGTTGAAGGAAACGCTTCGTCACGTCGGAGCTGCTTCCTCTCTCGCACCGAACCTCCTGACTGCAGCTGCTGCAGTTTGTTAGTGAAGCTGAGCCAAACTTTGGAGCGTTTGCTGCGGTCCGCC